TGGGTCCCTTGACATGTTGGTTCAGAATGTTTCTGGTTGCCACTTTCAGTTTAGCTCTCCATGTATCTGCACCTCCATGTGGGTCCCCATTCTCCCAGTCTACCTTGTCATGGTTGAAATCGTCCATGATTAAGAGTCTGGTCCCATTCCTGCAGGCAACTGAAGCTGCTCTCTCTATTATATTAATGGTTGCCATGTTTTTCCTATTGAACTCCTGTCTGGGTCTTCTGTCATTTAATGGAGTGTTGTAAATGACTGCCACTATTATCTTAGGTCCACCCATTGTCGTAGTTCGTGTTATGTAGTCTCTGAATCCTTCACATCCCGGAATTTCCATCTCTTCAAAACTCCAGTTCTTCCTTATCAGCAGGGCCACACCTCCTCCTCCTCCTTTCCTTCCTATATAGTAATCTCGTGGAAACACTGCATTTGTTATGATTCCTGACAATTTTGTTCACTTGCTTTATTAGTAATCCCATCGATGTTTGAGTACGCTACTTTGAAGCTCACTTTCCTATATTCATTATCCCACACCCTCCCCACTGGTGTGGAAAGCCGTTCCATGGGCAGGGCTACTTCCGTAGGCTCATCCTCCTGTGGGGTAGTTACCAGGGTTTGGGTGGGGGTGGGATGGGGGACGGAGGACTTAGACACACACACACACACACACACACACACACACACACACACACACACACACACACACACACACACACACACCACACACACACACACCCACACACACACCCACACACACACACACACACACACACACACACACACACACACACACACACACACACACACACACACACACACACAGTGTGTGTATTTACTATTTGTGCCGGTAGAATCGAGCAATTAGCTTTTGGACCCCGCCTTTCTAACCAATCTATTTTTCCTCTATTATGTCTACTACATATATTTATCTCTAACACACGCAAACACACACTCATCCCCAGGAAGCAGGCCGTAGCAGCTGTCTAACTCCCAGGTACCTATTTACTGCTAGGTGAACAGGCGCATCAGGGTGAATGAAACTGCCCATTTGTTTTCACCTCGGCCGGGAAAGCGGAAATGTGTGTGTGTGTGTGTGTGTGTGTGTGTGTGTGTGTGTGTGTGTGTGTGTGTGTGTGTGTGTGTGTGTGTGTGTGTGTGTAAATAATAAATACACACACACACACATAAATGGGCAGTTTCTTTCATCCTGATGCCCCCGTTACCTAGCAGTAAATAGGTACCTGGGAGTTAGACAGTTGTTACGGAGTTGCTTCCTGGGGTGTGTGTTCCTGGGTCTCACCTGTTGATTGACGGTTGAGAGACGGAACCAAAGAGCCAGAGCTCAACCCCCGCAAGCACAATTAGGTGAGTACACACACACACACACACACACACATATACATACAGTTCAGTGTGTGTGAATATGTGTGTTTATGTATCTGTGTGTGTGTGAGTATGTGTGTATGTGAGTGTGCTGGGAATGTGGCAACAGTGTGTGTGTGTGGTCTGGCCCTCAGAACCACAACTACTCCCCGCCCTCCTCCCCATTCCCCCCTTCCCCCACTACCCCCCTCTCTCCCCTACCTCTCTACTACGTCCGCTCCGACCACAAATACATTCCAATACCCCTTCGTTTGTCAACAGATAACTTGAAATGGCAATATTTCTTTTCGTTTGTGCCAGAAGTGATGAAATGGAATATCTTGAAACTGGACAAAGAGCTTAGCTACTCGACACACGCAAGCAATATGATACGAACGGCTTCTCTCAGATACCACGGAGCTTCGCACCTGTCTTGCCCCAAACCACCTGTCTCCTGGTCCACACTACCTGTCTCCTGGTCCACCCCACCGTCCCATCTCCTGGACCACACCACCTAGGTGGGTGAGAACAACCAGGTGAGTACCTGTCTCGGTTCACACCACCTGTCTCCTACCTACACTCAGGTAGATAGGACAAGCCCGCTTCAGCCCGCCTGATCGTGTCTACAAATGTTTCGTAGCCCTTTCCAAAAGTTTGTCTTAGAGGGCTAAGATGATTCTTAGCCCTCTCTAAGGTGTGCCTGTCACATAGCGCACCCTTCTACTACTACCCCCCCACCCCACAACCACCACCGTCAACCCCTCTCACCTGTCACTCCACCACTGTCTGGCCGACTTGGGATTATGCCTGTGTCACGCAGCCCACTACGTCGTTATTCTTTAGTATTGTGTACGAAAAGCGAGTCGATCTCTTCAGCCCGTTTGGCCTAACCAGAACACGTAAAAAAATGCAGCTGTTTTGGCTAACCAGGAACATACGAACCCAACCAACCCACCTTACCTATCGAAGCCGCTGCATAGAAGACGTCACTTTAATTGTTTGTAATGTGTAGCACTTTCAACACATTCTTCGATTCCGTAAAAAAATGTACGAATTAGTTGAGAGGACGGGCTGAATAAACCCTATAGTTTTGCACTAGTTTGCTAAACTTGTTTTATTTAATAATGTATTAGTTGTATTAATTTGTATTTAATATTATGACCGGTTGCAGCAGCCTGTTCTATTAGTTTGATAAGCGTCAAATTCTAAGTAATTTTTGACTGACCAGAAACTCTCGATTCTAGCCATCTGGCAACTCGTCCTCCTAATAGCACGTCGCATTTTGACGTACACTCTACCTTAAGGCCAAAAAATCGTCGTACTAGAAAATGGCAGCAGGTCGTGACACTGACACATTGTCCCGTTTTCTGTTTTATGTCCTCGGGTAGGTTAGGGTAAGTAAGCACTTTAGTACCACAGTTTCTTGACGTTGGGAAACTTAGGAGGACGGACTGGGCCACGTGACCCATCGCGAGCCGCACTCACTGGCTCCAGGGAGTATGAATAATAATAACATTGTCATTTGACAGCTGACGTCGATAATGCCAAAACTGCGTTGTTTAATATTACATTTCTGACGCTGTGGTTGAAAGTGTCAACACTGCGTTGCATTACGAGTGAAGACAAGGCTCTTGAAGTCTCAGATGTCCATTTTTAATCTATTTCAACGTCTCCAGAGCCTAGCAGCGCCTAGCCTCTGGTATCATGCTCATATCAGTGGCAAGCAACATTGCAAGACTGGACTATTAATAGCCCAATTAGGCTCTCTATTTCCCAATTAAAAAGCCCGCTATGTATATCATTATTTGGAGTTGTTCGGGCAACTCTTAAAATAACCTGGGCTACGTACTCTGAAAAGCTAATTATTAGCTAAAGAACATATTTAGATACTTGTATTGTAAATTGGCGACTTTTAGTCCTTAAGCTCTAAGCTACTTTCTGTAATACGGATTGTGGCAACTGTGGTGGCACTGCCCACGACCCATGTGGGATGTGGCACTGCCCACGACCCATGTGAGATGTGGCACTCCCCACGACCTCTTAGAGTACGGACTGTTATGGATCACTTCCTACGACCCGTTGAAGTTACCGCGACTGACTATGGTACATATTTCCTTCATCTTATTTAGTTTTGTAAATTAGGACTAAAGGTTATTACGAATGTTACTGATGGTCCTAATGGAACTACAACTGAGCCGGCTGTCTGTTTCTGTCTCACAGACTAAACGGGGACATAAGTGATGTGGTCCAATGAGGTATATTAAAAGCGAACTACCATTGTATAGTCAGGCAGGTCCTGACTGTAAACACACACACACACACACATCTCGTGGGTGAGTGGACAGCGCTCGGGGGTCATAGTCCTAAGGGTCCGGGTTCTATTCCCGGTCGAGGCAGAAACAAATGGGTAGAGTTTCTTTTACCCTGACGCACCTGTTCACCTAGCAGTGAATAGGTACCTGGGAGTTAGACAGCTGCTACGGGCTACTTCCTGGGGATGTGTGTGTGTTAAGAGAAATATATGTAGTAGACATAATAGATTGGTTAGAAAGGCGGGGTCCAAGAGCTAAGAGCTCGATTCTGCAGGCACAAATAGTAAATACACACACACAACAACAACTCATGCACATCAGGTTGGAACAAATCATAACAACCAGTGTTCAACAACCAGAGTCATCACCATTTCACGCTTTATATGCGCTAAAACATATAAATAATTGAGGTACATCTGGAGCGTGGCGGTGTTCGCTGGGTGGGATAGTTATAGAGGGTGGGGGATGAGGATGAGGGCGGGGGGGGGGAAGTTAAGGAAGGGGATGGAAGGGTGTGGGTGGGGGGGGGGGAGGCTGCGCGGGTGGGACTAGGTGGGGGAGGAGGACGGGGGTCTTGAAGGAGTGTTTAGCTCGAGGTAGAGAAGGTTGGAGGGGGGGGGTTGGTAGCGCCAATATTCACACACTCTTACATTAACAACGCCCCAAAACACATTTCCCCCCCAAAAAATATTGTGTGGAGTTAGCGTCCCGTGGCTACACCTGCCACAGTGGGTGTGTTAAAGTTCCAGTGGGGGGAGATAGTAGGCGTGCGAAGCCCACCACGGCCACCCCGACAATGCCTACACAAAGGGGGCCCAGTGGTCGCACCCTCGCGTTATTTTCAGTGTGTTCGGACGCCGTTCATTAACCCATATTATCAATGCCGTCCGCCTCAGACGTCGCGGGTCACTGTCTATTAATTGAGCAATAACAGAAGTTGACCAGGAGTGAAATGGAGCCTTGTTTCGGCGGTTAGTGAAGGAGTGACTGCTTCATTCTCTTTGTGCTTGCACTGGCGGGGGTCATCGAAGAACCGAAGAACCGTTACTGATGTGTTCTGATAACAGTGGCTCGCCGGGCCTTTTCTCGCACACCTCAACCCAAAATGAGATCTATGGAAAGAATACAACCAACAAAAACCATATTCGGTGTTTAAAAATAGCAAGTGTGCGTTTAGCTTGCTCAATCTGGAGCATAATCCTGCATGAGGTGCGAGAGAGTTGTGGTTGAGTGCTGGGCGGGCACTCTAGCGGCGAGCGGTGGAGTTACTGGGCGGCCATGTTGTTAGCCGCCGGCGACCAGTGATGAATGCGTCGGGCCAGTGGACCTGCCTCCAGACACCGTGCACATACACACACTCACACGCTCCCACATTTTCGCTTGATTGGAGCTGTTAATTGGCTATTTATGGATAAAATGCTTTGTGTTAGAATGTTGTGGAGGGGAGGAGTGGAATATTGTCAAGTGTGGAAGTGAAACGAAGTGATGGGACCATTCAAGCTCAGATGTTTTTTACCGAGGAGTAATGAGGACTCTGCATCGCGTATCCTAAGATGGCGAGACCGGTCGGCCCCGGACTAGCCAGGATAATGGCGCTCTGGTGAAACAGGCGGTGCGGCAAGATGCGAATATTGTGGGGCTGGTGCCTAGCAGCCCTGTTGTGGGCTGTGGCGGGGAACGTAGGCCCAGAGTACCACACCCCTGATGACTGCCAGGTCACCTCGCTGGCGGGCACCGACCTCGTCGCCCTCCTCTGTCGACTACGGACCATCAACAGCGAACTGGATGCCACTAATTTCAGCGTGATCCCCACCCGGAACACAGTCAAGCTCAGGATTGAGTGCAGTGACGTGCTCTTCTTTCAAAGTGCACTTCAAAATAAAAGTTTTGTGAGGCTGAGAGAGCTGCAGGAGCTCGATATTGAGTACTGCAAGATCGGGGAGGTACCGCGGGAAGCATTTCTTGGCCTGACAAACCTACGGAACCTGACGCTGCGGACCTACAACACCGATTGGTCTGCCATGACCCTCAAGATCGCTAACGACGCCTTCAGAGAGCAGAGGAACCTGCAAAGGCTCGACCTGGGTGACAACAATATCTGGACGCTTCCCCCAGCCCTACTCTGCCACCTGGAAAATCTCAGGCTCCTCAATTTGTCCAGAAATAAACTCCAGGATGTGACAGTTCTGAGTTTTAGTCAGGTAGAACATATATGTGCCCCGGGATTGCGTTCTCTCGATGTGTCATTCAACCACTTAGTAAGTGTTCCGGCATTTGCATTTGCAGCGCTAAAAAATTTGCAAATGCTTAACATGAGTCTAAATGGCATTAGTAAACTTGAGGACAAGGCTCTTTTTGGCATGTACTCGTTAGAAGTGTTGGATCTGTCAGGGAATTTGTTGACTGCGTTACCGCCTGAACTATTCCAAGAAAATAAACGACTTACAAAGTTGTACATCAGGAACAACTCTGTGAGCGTGTTGGCTCCTGGGCTGTTCACCGGGCTGAGCCTCCTGCTGGAGCTGGAGCTCACTGACAACCAGCTCACCAACACCTGGGTCAACTCGGAAACCTTCACCGACCTCCTAAGGCTCGCAAGTCTTGATCTGTCCAACAACAAAATCACCAGACTCGACGCGGCCACTTTCCGTGATTTAACCAACCTTCAAGTGCTAAAGTTGCAGCAGAATATGATTGAAACAATTTCTGATAATACGTTCAGTGGGTTGTTTAGATTACATACGTTAGTGCTGTCGGATAACAGAGTCAAAGTGATTAGTGATAAAACTCTCGCGGGTCTAATCGGCCTGCAAGTGCTAAAGTTAGATAACAACGAAGTGTTTAGCGTGGATAGCCACGCCTTGACTAACTCGACGGAGCTTCAGGAGCTGCAGCTAAGTCACAACTACTTGCAAGACGTGCCCAAGCTGGTGCAGAGCCTGGCATCGCTCAGAACCCTGGACCTGAGTGGCAACCATGTAAGTGTTATCACCAACAGTTCCTTTACCGACCTCCAGCACCTCAGTGCCTTAAAACTTGCCGCTAACGTGGTAGAAAATATTACTAAAAGTGTTTTCAAGAATCTTCCAGCTCTTCAAGTGCTAGATCTAGGAAGTAACAAAATTCACACGATAGAGAATGGTGCTTTTGACAATAACAAACATCTCGAGGCCATTAGATTAGACAATAATGTGTTAACAAACGTTCATGGCCTGTTCTCTGATTTACCAAACCTTCAGTGGCTCAATTTGTCTAAAAATCATCTGGAAATGTTTGATTATGCCTTCATTCCCAGAGGACTGAAATATCTAGACCTTCGTTCAAATTTTATAAATGAACTTGGAAATTATTTTGAAATTGAGAGTCAGTTAAATTTGAAGATAATTGATGCCAGTTTTAACAAGCTGTCAGACATTAGTGCCAGTTCTGTGCCAGACAGTGTTGAAATTCTCTTCCTAAATAACAATCTTATATCGAGGGTACAGCCTTATGCGTTCTTTAAAAAGAAAAATCTTACACGAGTGGACCTCTTTGCTAACAAGATCAAGAACATTGATCAGAACGCCCTCAGGCTCTCTCTGATGGACCCCTCCCGTGACCTGCCCGAGTTTTACTTGGGAGGGAACCCATTCGAGTGTGACTGCACGATGGAGTGGTTACAAACTATCAACAGCCTGGAGGAGACTCGACAGCACCCGACGGTGATCGACCTCGACACCATTAACTGTAGGTTAATGAATAATAAAGCCGTCATCCCCCTGCTGGAGGCGCAGAAGTTGCAATTCCTCTGTGAGTACGAGTCGCATTGCTTCGCCCTCTGCCATTGCTGTGATTTTGACGCCTGTGACTGTGAGATGACGTGCCCGACCAACTGCACGTGTTTTCACGACGAGTCGTGGGCGGCCAACATCGTTGACTGCTCCCAGGCTGGCTACGATTCTGTGCCGGACAGAATACCGATGGATTCATCTGAAGTGTACTTAGATGGCAACAATATGGACTCTCTCTCCAGCCACACCTTCATAGGGAGGAAAAATCTCAAAGTTCTCTATCTAAACGATAGTAAAGTCGAGGTAATTCATAACAGAACGTTCAATGGTCTTAAACTACTGGAAAATCTCTACCTGCAAAATAATTATATCAAGGAACTCAAAGGTTACGAGTTTGAGCACCTTACCCTTTTACGTGAATTGTATTTACATAGTAACGAGTTGCTTTACATACAAAACACAACATTCTTAACCCTGGTTTCGCTTAGGGTCCTGAGGTTAGATGATAACCGTCTCAAAATATTTCCAGTGAATCTCTTCGAAAGGACTCATAACCTTCGCTCCCTGCACCTGAGCGAGAATCCTTGGAGCTGCGACTGTGACAACCTGGACGACATCCAGACTTGGATGCACGCCGCCGGCGGAATGCTCAAGGACGCAGACAAGATTATCTGCTCCCTCAACAGGTCAGTCGAGGTCAAGGCGCAAATCTCTACTTTTAACTTGTCTGCCTGTAACAATGAGACGGAGACGACGACGATAAAACACGAGGCTTACCTGGATTATGTCTTCCTTCCCACCATCACCCTGGGGGCCTTCGCTGTTCTCCTCACCATCACGCTCGTTATCTTCTGCAACAGGAACCGCATGCGAGTGTGGGTGTACGCTAAATACGGCGTCAGACTCTTCTACAGGAGCGAGTATGAAGGGGATACTGATAAAGCCTTTGACGCTTTTGTTAGTTACAGTTCCAAAGACGAGGTTTTCGTGACTCAAATCCTGGCCCCGGAGCTGGAGCGCGGTAGCCCCGCCTATAAGTTGTGTCTCCACTACAGAGACTTCCCTGTCGGCGCCTATATCACCGACACCATTCTCAGTGCCGTAGACACAAGTAAGCGCACAATATTAATATTATCAGAAAATTTTATCAAATCCGAGTGGTGTCGTTTTGAGTTCCGTTCCGCCCACCACGAGGTGCTGAAGGACCGGCGGCGGCGACTTATCGTCATACTACTCGGAGACGTTCCCCAGAGGGATCTCGACCCCGACATCCGTCTCTATCTTAAAACAAATACCTATCTTAAATGGGGCGACACTCACTTTTGGGAAAAATTAAAATTTGCGATGCCTGACGCCCAGCCACCGACGAGGAACCACCAGTTGCACACCCTGGCCTCCCAGCAGCAGCCGGGGCCCAGACCCGTCCCTCTCCACATGTAGCTGACACATAAGTTCCTCGCCAGCACCACTGTCACCTCCAGCCGTGAGCCTGCGCACCTTATATCATTCTCCTCTCGCACCTGAGACAGGCTCGACGCCCTGATAAGACTGCGTTGGTACCAGTACCGCACAACACTGGGTGAAGAGTTTTATCTTTTACGTCGGAATCTAGGATCTCTAAGTGTTGGAATTCATGCTATGGGCAGAATAGCACCCACATCACCACGATGCAGCCGTCGGAGAGGGCGTCCCTGGGTGGGAGGGAAGCAGCTGCAGCGAAGACTCGCTGCTGGGGTATCCTCTGACCCCGGACTCTGCCTAGGAGCCCCAGCCGTCTGGACAACACGGATAAGATCTGTCCCCAGGATCACGTCGAGACACACCGCCTCTTGTCCACAGAGTGTGAGGGGGGGGAGGGAGGCTGGCCACCTCCTGCCCACCGGAGAGGCTAAGTATCTCCTAACCAGTCAAGGGCAGGAAGCTGACCACCTGACCACCCAGCCCAGTATAATTCTGATCAATGCTCCTCAGCTCAATGCTGGGCTTACCTCACGCTGGCTGACGACCTGATTAACCCACTGTGGATGGCTGACCATCTTCTGATTAGCACACTCTGAAGAGCTGGCCATTTCCTGATCGATCCACCATGGAGGGCTGATTATTTGATACGCCCACTGTGGAATGCTGACCATCTCCTGATTGGCTCGTTCTGGATTGCTCACCATCTCCTGAGTAGCCCACTGTGGAGGGCTAACCATCTTCAGATCGGCCTCTTTCGAAGGGCTGACCATCTACTGATTAGTTCCTTGTTGAGGGCTGGCCATCTCCTGATTAGCCCCTTTATGGAGGGCTGACCATCTCATGATTGGCCCCCTTGTTAAGGGCTAACCATATCCCGATTGGCACTTGTGGAAGGCTGACCAACTCCTCGTGCAGGGCTGATTGGCCCCTTGTGGACGGCTAACCATCTGATTGGCCCCTTGTGGACGACTAACAATCTGATTGGCCCCTTGTGGACGGCTACCCATCTGATTGGCCCCTTGTGGACGGCTAACCATCTGATTGGCCCCTTGTGGACGGCTACCCATCTGATTGGTCCCTTGTGGACGGCTAACCATCTGATTGGCCCCTTGTGGACGGCTACCCATCTGATTGGCCCCTTGTGGACGGCTAACCATCTGATTGGCCCCTTGTGGACGGTTGACCATCTGATTGGCCCCTTGTGGACGGCTACCCATCTGATTGGCCCCTTGTGGACGGCTACCATCTGATCTGATTGGCCCCTTGTGGACGGCTAACCATCTGATTGGCCCCTTGTGGACGACTAACCATCTGATTGGCCCCTTGTGGACGGCTGACCATCTGATTGGCCCCGGCTTGTGGACGGCTAACCATACCCATGATTGGCCCCTTGTGGACGGCTAACCATCTGATTGGCCCCTTGTGGACGGCTAACCATCTGATTGGCCCCTTGTGGACGGCTAACCATCTGATTGGCCCCTTGTGGACGGCTAACCATCTGATTGGCCCCTTGTGGACGGCTGACCATCTGATTGGCCCCTTGTGGGTCCGACAAATCTCATTGAATCTGCCACTGAAGTGTTCACAAATATGTTAAACAATAATTTTGAATAAATTACATTTGTATATAATGTGACACTACATCATAGCAAGTTATTTAGGCGTTATTTTCTCTGTATATATATATATATATATATATATATATATATATATATATATATATATATATATATATATATATATATATATATATATATATGAAAAAAAGCTGCATGAACGCGCAAGCCATAAATCATTAAAAAAAACTATATGAGCCGGGCAGGATTCGAAGCCATGCCGTCCAGGATCATCCCTAAACGAACACAGTACCGAGACCACCGCACCAATGATCGTTTCATTGATCGTAGACGATCATTGGTGCGGTGGTCACGGTACTGTGTACGTTTAGGGGTGATCCTGGACAACATGGGTTCGAATCCTGCCCGGATCAAATAGAGTTCTTAATTATATATATATATATATATATATATATATATATATATATATATATATATATATATATATATATATATATATATATATATGTCCCTGGGGACCATTCATCGCATATATATATATATATATATATATATATATATATATATATATATATATATATATATATATATATATATATATATATATATATATATTCGTACCTAATAGCCAGAACGCACTACTTGGCCTAGCATGTAGGACCCGATTTGCAGATTTATTTAAATTAATATTATTATATTAAGAACATGAATTACTGACTTAGTTATGTTAGTTTAGGTTAGGTTACGTTTGGTCATATTTTTACGTTCGTTTGAACTCAAATTAAAAAATAATGAAATCATATATAATATAATGGAAAGTTTTTATCATTTCATAAGAAACTTTTGTTAGTTAAATATATAACTCGGTTTATTAGGCAAGTCGTGCCTTGCATATAGTAGGCAAAGTAGTGCGTTCCTAAATATATATATATATATATATATATATATATATATATATATATATATATATATATATATATATATATATATATATATATATATATATATGTCGTACCTAATGGCCAGAACACACTACTCAGACTAGTTAGCAAGGCCCAATTTGCCTAAGAGGCAAAGTGATTTCGTTATTAAAAAATCAAATTGGTTTATTTGAATTATTCTTATATTAAGAACACGAATTACTGCATTTTTTAGGTTAGGGTTGGTCATATTTCTACGTTAGTTTTAAACTTACAAAAATTCAAAATAAAATTCTATATAATATAATGGAAAACTTTATCATTCTATAAAAAAAATTAAGAAAAATATAATTTCAGGGAAAACTTTGCTTTTTAGGCAAACCGGGTCTTTGCATACTAGTGCAAGTAGTGTGTTATGGCTATAAGGTACATCATATATATATATATATATATATATATATATATATATATATATATATATATATATATATATATATATATATATATATATATATATATATATGTTTGTGTGTGTGTGTATTTATTCAATGTTTAATTCCAATAATATTCCCAAAATATTGACATTTATTCTTTAAAACAAAAATCCAGAAAAATTTTGTTATTAACTTGTGAGAAAATTTAACTAAAGAAGAAAATTAATGTTTAGATTTTGTGCAAGCATGATTATGTAATATAGCTGAAAAAAAAATCCTAAATTAATGGAAGTGCCCAATGTAGATTTTGTGAAACATGATATATACTCAAATATTTATGAGTTGTTTATAATTTGTGAGGTTAGAGATTAAGGAATGTATCCAAACTGACATTTCCACGAGGTAAGAGAAGACTTGAGTGCAGGTCTCGCGAGCTGGCCTATGACACCGTGGCTCACAATTCCTCGCAAAACTGGTGACAGTGGCATTATAGGCTACCGGCGTGCGTGTGCGTGCGTGTGTGTGTGTGTGGGTGGCTCCCCGTCTCGCTGTGTACATAGCACCATCGCTTGGTGTACAGAGTGTGTGTGTGTGTGTGTGTGTGTCTGTGTGTCTGTGTTTGTACATACCATTTATCGCATTTCATATTTCTAAACTGTCCTGGTTTGTTGAGCTTAGTATATTGTTTTCTTTGTTATTGCTTGTCTAGTCAACCAAAATGTTATTTTATTGAAGCGGTATGTGATAATTGAAGCATATTAAGTTTGATGCCAAATTTATTTGTGATAGTTGAACTATCCTCAAACCACTCATTTGCCAATTCTCGTGTGACACTTTATGAAGGAAAAGTTGATTCACAAGCTCATCCAGTATTTGTCATCCCGTCAGTTTGAGTAGTTGACAATCCATTGTTACAACTTCCCCCCAAAAAAAGTTATAAACGCAAAGATGTGTTAAATAATCTGTGATGATTGATTGTAGATATATTTATGAGTGTGGATGTTTATTTATACTATTGTGAGAGTCATTGGTGCTGGAACGCGTCGCTGCCAGACCTACACTGCCCTGTCCCTGCTCTCTCTCTCTCTCTCTCTCTCTCTCTCTCTCTCTCTCTCTCTCTCTCTCTCTCTCTCTCTCTCTCTCTCTCTCTCTCTCTCTCTCTCTCTCTCCCCCAACACCCAGACTGTTTCTATGAAACTCGGGCTTCCTCTCTAAAACTATGGAAAAATTTAAATTCCTACGAATAATGGCTATTAGCAGGCTTAGAGCTTTCCATATTTCCTCTAAGACACTCCCTTTATCTCTCTCTCTCCATCTCTCCTTCTCGTTTCATTTACCTCTTTATTTTCTCGCAACGTCTATTTTTTTTTCAAAATATATTATTATATTTGTTATGGTATCATAGTTTTCCTGGTATTTCCTCCTGGTGGCGGGTTGGGAGCCTGGGCAGGCCCCGTGGTTGGCAGCACTGCGTCCGGCTCCACCTTGGCTTCTACACATTCTCCTCAACTTGCATTATGCCAACCCATCCAGATTTTTTCAAAGTGTTTTTTTTTTCCCAAAATTTGTTTTTTAAAAATGTTTTTACCTACATGTATAAGATATCAACAAAAAATTTATCCCCCATTATATTCCGCAAATTCCATACATGTGTCCTTTTTTATTATTATTCTATTGCAAAATATACAATAAGAATCCATGTCTGTTATTATCAGAGATTTGATTTTCAGCAGTGTGCAATAGAGAAGATTGAGTGATCTGTCGAACAGCAAAATTACCGCCATTAGTCTTGTGGTATCATGCATCTCCGACATGCCAGTTGCCAATGGCTCAATTCTTTCATCTTTTATCTCAAGCACCCGGCGCGGCCTTATGGAGTTAAACCTCATTATATCAATTTACTTCTGGAAGATTGTTGTTGAATATGCATTTTCATGTTAAAATTATGTTAGCGCCCTTGTTAGTTTCATGTAAATGTTTATGCAAGCAACGGGTACGAGCGTACGTCTGGCAACGCTACTCATAAATCGAAGCCCGATGCTTGATAACTGATATTCCCTGATTCATGGCCTCATTGCATGCCACAGATACTATGATAATGATGCAAATATTCCTGTATGTAAGAACAGTGTTCCTGAGGACTGAATGATATGGTACCATTAATGAACTTTGTATTTATTTTTCATCTGCCCATAACTCAGTATGGAACGAGAGATACCACAAGCCTCTTTTTTTTCAACTAATAAATTGTTAACTAAATCCTTTTGTTTGCTTAACCAATTTGAATTTCATATGTATTTAAATAAGTTTGAAATACAGTAACAATTTACATGTCTCTCAAAACTTCGGTTTTATGAAAATAAGGAATATTTTGGAAAAAAATAATTAAAAAAAATCAGCCCATCCTCCTGTTGAGGTAATACTTATAGTAACGATGAGGACCATAGTATATATACCGACGTACAACGAAATTAGAATTACGGGTTATTCATGCCCGTGCCACCTCTTGGGTGGCTTAATCTTTATCAATCAATTGAAATTAGAAAGCAGAAATCGGCACTGTGGAGTCGGACAACCAGAAAATTATTTTTGACTTGTGTTGCTTTGACAAACTAAACTAACCTTACCTAACCTACCTAGGCCTACTACACGATATCTGAGGCCTAATATAGTACATCTGTGTGCTGTACTAGGCCTAGGAATATTTAAGTTTTTGTTTTAGCCCCTATTTATTTTAAAAGAATTCCTTACTAGTCAGTATACTAGTATCTAAAAGCTAAGAACGTACGAATTCTGACTATTGTCGACCGTCACAATAGGTACTGTCTAAACAGAGTGATGGGTTGACAAATCATAAATAAATGTAAGTCATCAAATTATGGAACGAAATCATCTATATAAATATTATGACAAAAACATTATAACTTTAAGATGACTAACGTATCATTAAGAATAAAATCGTGTAAAAGATATTGGAAGCAAGGAAGCACCTTCCCCCCACCACCCCCACACAAAAAAAAATTAGTCCACACAAATGATTTTAGTGACTAGTTTTCAGCCTGAAGACGGAACCTGGTATTTGCACTGTCTGAAAACCAAAATGAATTTGGATTTTGGTGTGTGGAGAATATTTCTGGGTGGTTGATTTTATCTTGGGATTCCTGGTGTGTTGTTAGTTATGAGGCCAAGCCAATGGGAGGTGAGGACAGACGCAGTGTGTGGAAGAAAAGACTGATTCTAAGACTTGAAGGCTGTGAGGTGTTCGCCAGAAGCCTCAACCACAGACTCTAGAGACGCGAACCCCAGTGTTCCCAAGATTGTTGTTGTTTAAGATTCAGTTAATGGGAACTAAAAGTTCCAAGTAGCACGGGCAATGGTGAGCCCGTGCT